CACGGGTAGGGGGTGAGCTGCTAGTGGGCCAAGCAGTCCCTGAGCTGTGGGGAGGGAGGCTTGGTCCTTCCCTTCATAGTGGCAGCACCCCCCACGACCACCCAGGTAGTTGCTAGCAGGCCAGGGGCTGCCCTAGCTCAGAGGCACCCGATCCAAGACTTCCCTGAGCTCGCCCGAGCTTCCAGTGTGCTGAGCACTGTCCCCACCACCTTCTCTGGCCACCAGCACACCCAGCCCCCCTCCAGCTCTTCCCCACACTGCCCCAGAAGCAAGGCCGCCCATTCTCAGGTGGTCCCAGGTGGCAGGAAGGCGGCGGGGACAGTGCATGGGGCACTGCTCCCCAGGTGGATTCAGGGAAGAGTTGGATCTGGTGGGTACTGCCTCCAAGCTGAGGCATCCCCTGGCACACTAGCAGCCTGCCTGGGTGGCCGCATGGGGCACTGCCACCATGGCGGGAAGGACCCGGCCCCCAACAGTTCAGGTGCTGCTCTGCCTCCCCGCAGCTTATGCAGGCAGGCTCCACCAGAAAAAAAAAAAAGCAGCAAAGCCTATCTGTGGCCAGGGGTTTTGCTGCTGATAGGCCCTGATCTTCAGGGGGCACCCAGGCAGGCTGCTAGTGGGCTGGATGCTGCTTTAGCTCGGAGGCAGCACCCACCGAATCCAACTCTTCCCTGAGCCCACCTGGCGAGCAGCACCCCATGCACTGTCCCTATCACCTTCCCACTGCCTGGAATAGCCTGGGAATGGGCTGCTTTGTCCCTGGGGCAGTGCAGGGAAGCAGCAGGAGTGTGGCTGGGTGTACTGGTGGCTGGAGAAGGCAGCAGGAACAGTGCACAGTGTGCTGGAGGCCTGGGTGGGCTCGGGGAAGTGTTGGATTGGGCACTTCTGAGCTGGGGCAGCTCCTGGCCCACTAGCAGCCAGCCCAGGGAGCCCCAGGGGGTGCCACTCTGCAGAGGGAAGAACTAAGGGTCCCTGCAGCTCAGGTGCCACTCAGCCCAAAGGAAGCTACCCCCCACCCCCCAGTCGTGAGAGAAGTGGGTAGGCTCCACGGAAAGGGAAAAAAAAGGATCGGGCTCCTCACTGCTTCTGCCTTCAGCCCTCCTCTCCTGCGGCCGGGGAGCAAGCTGTTAAATTCAAGGCGGCAGCATTACAAATAGCTACATTGCAAACTAAACTACATGCAGATGTGGTTTGTTTTGCAACATAAACTCATTTAAATTGCAAAAAAACCCAACCCCTACGTGTAAAGTGTGATGCAATTAAATTGCAAAAATGGGCAATTTTTGTCACGTGTACAAGCGTCCACATACCATATTTGCCTTGTGTTCATTATTCATGAACATCACTAATGATAACTAGGGACAGAGCAATGAGAGAGGAAAACCCCAGACTAATGAAGACTTTAGCCTGTCCCACACACTGGACTCCCCTTCAGGTTCAGGTTCATCCTGCTAGGGAATCTCCTTCCTCTCTCCCCCTAGCTCCCACTTTTGCTCAGTTCCTACCCCACTTCCTAATAGCTCCTTCTTTCCCTTCCAGAAAGCTCTCAGGCCCCTCATGCCACATTTGGTTTACTCAGCTTCTGCTTGCCCATTTGCTGAACACTAATAGCCTTCACTCTGCAGTTCCTTCTACTTTTAAAGCTCCTTTTTCAATGTCTAGCTGCTTTGACAGGCTGCCTGTTCATGCCTGAGGGAGTGCACTCATCCCCTTGCATATGCCCCCTCCCTTCTGTATTTGGAGAGCTCTCTAGAGTTTAGTAAGCCTGTCTGCTGAAGTTTCTCTAATGTCTATACTAAATCCTTTTAACACTTTAAAATGGAGGTGCATTTGCCTTTGTGTCCCGTGCATCTAAGGAGATTTCAGTCTTTGAATAACCATAGAGGGTATTATCCATGCACATCTTTACTCCTGTTCTTCCATCCCAGTAAGTCTGATTTCTGTTGTAGGCAGACAGCCAGTGCCTTCATGAGTGAAGAAAGATGCAAAAGAATTAAAATCCCTGTTACTTGCAGTCCTTCATCTCTAATTCTCTGACCAAAGAGAGAAGGCACTGAAATCTTTTTTCGGAATATCATTAGAACATTTATTCATTTAGATACAGGAAGAAAAATAAAACCCTGATTTGTAGCTGACACATTCATTTGGTTTTCTGATTTCTGTCCTCTCTCATTGCTTTATATTATTCTGAAGCCCTCTCCCCAGCATGTTTTCATAAGTTGAATCATCCTGGTGATCTCAGAGAAGAAAGACTGTACAGCACTGAGGGATTTAAGCTGGGACTTGGGGAAGCCGGTCCTTGCTCTGCTATGTGTTGCCTATGTGACCTAGAAGTGATTTGACTTTATCTGTCTCAGATCTTCATCTGTAGAGAGATGAAACTAGTTCTTACCCCATGGTGAGGGATGGTTGAAAGCAACTGCTTTAAGTATTAGGTGGAAGACAGAGGATTGGCAAGTGTTCAGTGGGGAGAACCATGCACAGTAAATATCAACTAGGCTGGCTATCTCCTGGGCTAGCCGGGTTACTTTGAGGCTGTGCACAGCAACCAGAAAAGTGCCTCCGAAGAACAGCTCAAGCGCTTCCCTGATGTAAGGTAACAGGTATGTCAGACCTACACACTTAGAAAAGTGGAAAGGAGCAAAGCACATGGCCTAGAGTAACTAACTGGCTTTGGCAGCTGCTTCCTGCAGGCTGACTGTAGCCGGCATGAACTAAAGCAGCCCGTAGAGTCATGCCCTCCCTCCCATCCTTGGCAAACACAAATTCCATGCAGCTGCAGGTTCAGTCTGAGCCATCAAGAAATGTATTCAGCTTTTATTCAAACTTGTCCAACTGTTCAGTATGTCTGGAAATCTTACAAGAACAGGATTCCTCATGCCCTTTCCAATATTTTTCTTCTGCTATACAATCAGAAAATTCTCTGCATGCAGCTTGTTCCAGGCTTTGGGTATATAGGCCCGTTGGCAATCCCAAGTGACCTGAGAATGAAAAATGCTGATAAAAACATTCACATTTCTAACACCTCAACAAAGATTCAGTTGAGAATTAAAGTTGTGTATCAGGGGTTCCTTGTTTTAAGACCAACTTCTTTCAGCTCTCTCAGAAGACATTGCGTATATGAGAAATGAAAAGAAAAAACAAAGAGACAGAGTCTGACACAACAGGAAGTCTTTGAAAGCATATTACAGACTATTAGATTCTACAATAACTCCTTTCTAAGCTACTTCTATTACATGGCTTTGCATGTTGAGAGCTATGATGGGATCATGAGACTGGATAATAGGTTTATTCCTAGAACAGGTGGGAAGGGGAAGGATTTCTACCCACTCTCCTGCCCCCCCCCCCTTTTTCCTTTTGATTAGTGGTTTTAAGATATGGTGGGCCATATTCTCATGGCCAGCTATTTCACCCTCAGGACCATAGAGCTGCATACTACAGCTCAGTATCTCTCAGATCATAGGCTCTTGGTCTGAATTCATAATTTCATAGTTTCTAAGGTCAGAAAGGACCTGAACAGATCATCAATTCCGACCCCCTGCCTTGGACAGAAACGAGTGCTGGGATCATGACACCCCAGCCAGATATCCATCTAACCTCCTCTTGAAGACCCCCAAGGTAGGGGAGAGCACCACCTCCCTTGGGAGCCCATTCCAGAGCCTGGCAGCCCTAACCGTAAAGTACTGCCTCCTGATATCAAGCCTGAACCTGCTCTCAATCAATTTGCAGCCGTTGTTCCTTCTTATCCCAGGTGGTGCCAGGGGGAACAGAGCCTCACCTATTTTCTGCTGGTCCCCCTGGTGAGTTTATAGATGGCCACCAGATCCCCTCTCAGCCTTCTCTTGTGGGGCTGATAGATTCAGGCCCTTTAGTCTATCTTCGTACGGCCTGGCCTGCTGCCCCCTGACCATGCAAATGGTCCTCGTCTGGACCCTCTCAAGGTTAGCCACATCCCTCTTGAAGTGTAGTGCCCAGAACTGGATGCAGTACTCCAAATGTGGCCTGACCAATGCCGCATAGAGGGGAAGGATCACCACCCTGGACCTGCTTGTGATACATCTGTAGATGCACATCAAGGTGTAGTTAGGCTTACTGACTGCTTCCTCACATTGGCAGCTCATGTCCATCCTGGAGTCAACAATGGCTCCAAGATCCCTTTCAGCCACCATGTTGATGAGAAGGGTGTTCCCCAGCCTATAGGTGTGTTGCAGGTTCCTTCTCCCTAGATGCAGCACCTTGCACTTGTCCGTGTTGAATTCCATCCTATTCTCATCCGCCCACCTCTGTAACCTGTCTAGATCTAGTTGGATTCTGTCCCTCCCCTCCAGCGTGCCCATTTCTCCCCACGTCTTTGTGTCATCAGCGAATTTGGACGGCGTGCTTTCCACGCCCACCTCCAAGTCACTGATAAAGATGTTGAATAGCACAGGCCCAAGGACTGAGCCCTGGGGAACTCCACTGCCCACATCCTTTCAGGTCAAAAATGACCCATCCACCACCACTCTCTGGGTGCGACTATCAATCCAATTTGCCACCCACCTGACTGTGTAGGCATCAATGCTGCAGTCACCTAGTTTTTTTAATGAGAATGAGGTGAGAAACAGTGTCAAAGGCCTTCTTGAAGTCTAGGTAGACGACATCCACCTCAATGCCCGTGTACCCGCCTCCTCTCTAGTAGGTGTTCCCGTGCTGCCTTCACCCGAGCCCTAGATCTTGCGGGCCCCGGGCTTATGGGTGGGCCCCGAAGGCTACCCCTGCTGATGTCAGGAGGACACCTGAACTCACCTGCCACGACTTTGAATGTAACTTCAGTGGGGGGTCCTTCCTTGGGGTAGCCCCTAGAGTTGGCACGGTCCCCTACGGGTAGTCTTGGGGCTCCGTCCTCCCCTACACCCTGGCCACTCGCCACCTGTAGCTCTACCTCTTCTTGGCTTCCACGGTGTCCTAGGCCTGCCACTGTCTTACCCCCAACCTGCCGTCCGTCCGTCAAGGTCCTCGGCTCAATGGGCCGTCCGCCGGGGTTGCCAGCCCCGACCTTCCACCTCGGCTCCTTCTTTAATCCGGCTGCTGGTTTCTTCACCGGCTCTGATGCTCATGAAGCAGCCGGTTCCCTCACCAGCTCTGCTGCCTGGAATGCAGCCAGCTTCCTCACTGGCCCTTCTGCCCACAGCGCAGCCGGTTCCTCCACCGGCTCTGCTGTTCAGGATGCCACCGGTTCTCTCTCTGGCTCTGCTGCCTGCAATGCAGCCAGTTCCCTCCTTGGCTCTGCTGCTCCCGACGCCGCCGGTTCCTCCACCGGCTCTGCTGCCTATAACGCAGCCAGCTTCTTCACTGGCGCCGCCGACAGCGTCGAAGCCGGTCCCACCGCCAGCACTTTTGCCGGTTGTGCTGCCGGCTTTCTCGGAGCCCGCTCTGGCTCTGCCCCCTGCTCTCGCTGCAGCTGGGTGCGGCGGCTGATCTGCTCCATGCAGGAGCTCACTCCCCTGGTCTCTCCTCATCAGCCGCCCCACTGCCTCGGCGGGGCCGCTTTTTGTTTCTTCCGGGCGGCGTCCTCTGCCCCCGCTGCTCTGCCGCAGCCAGATAAATGCCTGGCTGATCACCCACGCCGGCGTCCTCGGCGTACGCGCCTCCCCCGGCTCTTCCAGCTCTGCGGGAGGTAAGTAGGACTCCTTGCTGCCCCGGGGTTCCTTCGGTGTCCCAGCTCCCCTGGGACAGCCCGCATCCAAGAACTTTGTGACCTGGTCATAAAAGGAAACAAGGTTAGTCAGGCAGGATCTTCCCACAATGAACCTGTGTTGGTTGCCCCTGAACATTACCTCCCCTGCTGGGCCCTTGCAGATGTGCTCCTTGGTAATTTTCTCAAAGGTCCTCCCAAGGACCAAGATGAGACTAACTGGCCTGTCATTACCCGGGTCCTCCTTTCTCCCCTTCTTGTAAATGGGGACCACATTGGTCCTTTTCCAGTCCTCTGGGACCTGCCCAGAGCACCACGAGTGCTCATACAGCTATGCCAGGGGCCCTGCTATGGTCTCCGCCAATTTCCTCAGTACCCTTGGATGAAGAGCATCCAGATCTTCTGATTTAAACACGTCCAGTCCCTCCAGAATTTTCCTAACTAGATTATCCCTTACCCTAGGCACGGCATCATGTCCCGTGAGTCTGTCCATAATCCTAGTGGGGGAGTTGTCCCAGTCCCTGCTCAGAAATATGGAGGCAAAGAACTCATTGAAGAGGTCAGCTTTTTCCTTTGCTGCAATCACCAGATTGCCAAGCCTGTCCTGTAGGGGCCCCACGTTACCTGGTGCCTTCTTCTTAGTCCCTATGTATTTGAAAAAGGACTTTTTGTTATCCTTAATTCTGGTCACCGTCCCTAATGCCGTCTTTGCCTTGGCCTTCCTAATCACCTCCCTGCAATCGTGAGCAATGGAGGTGTAATCCTCCTTGGTGATAGCCCCTTGCTTCCCACTGATTGTATGCCACCTTTTTTGCCCTCAGGCCCTCCTGGATGTCTTTACTGAGCCAAGGGGGCTTTTTATCTGAATTTACCTGAATTGTACCAGGTAAAATGCCTGCAAAAATAATTAGGGCTTTGTGAAGCTTCAGTCACTGATTCTATTCGGCGGAGATTCAGCCCAATTCAGTGGCCGAATCTCCGAATCCAAATCAAATAAGGAGACCCTTTAATCTCTCCAAATAGAATCGGAACCCTCCAAATGACATCTTGTTTTTAATCAAGAAGCCAAATTACCTTGTGATTGCTCAATACTTGGCTAGGAGGTCATGCAGGTCCAGTGGGAAATTGTGCTTTAGATTCAGTAGCTAGTTCTTGCTCATTAAATACCTACTGGACTACTGGCTCCTCCTTCTCATCATGGAAGGAAATAGAGGGCATCTGGAGCTTCCATTCCAAGGACGAATTAAAATCAAGGACAATAATTTGAGGTCTTCAAAAAGCCTGTAGAATAAGAGTACAAGCATGGACAAGGTCTATATACAGTTGTATTTGCCTACCTAAATTCTCCATGTGGTTTTTGTTGACTCTGGATTTAGGACCCAGGGGCCCCCTTGTTATGGGGGGGCAGTGGGTGAGGGGGAAGGGGAACGACCCACCCTCAGACCAACCAAACCTTTCCATTCAATAATAGGCAAATTTATTGATACACAGTGATAACAAAAAAAAGCAATACAAACAATCAAGCAGTTCTATATATCTACCAGATCCTAGGGCTGTCATCAGTCTGGCCAGGATGCAATCTCCACTCTGAGGCTCTTTATTAGGTATCAGAGGTCAGTATGTCAACAGTCTGAAGGTGGGATGCTGAGGCCCACAGCCTTCCTCCAGTGGGGTGGATGAGATGGGCTGGTGGTATGCCCTTTGTCCATGGTGGCCTTGGAGACCCTTCCCAGGGGACGAGAATGGGGATCCTCTCAGGGAAGAGGAGGAGGAGGAGGGACGGGGAGGGACCGAGGCAGAGAAGGGAAGGGGAGGGACCTGGGTGGGACTCATTGTTACTCTTAAGTCTCTGCTTTTGTATTCTCCTTCCCTCCTGATGACTCTTCATCCATGGCTATTGCTGGTTGGTTGTCCCTCTGTGGTCACACTGTCCACATCAACACATTCCAAGCCCATCCCATGCACTACTTATTTGGTCCTTCTGTGCCTTCTCCTAATTTGGCCTGTTCCCCCAAAACCAGGACTCAGTCCTCCCCTACCCCTTTCCCCCCCCAGGCCTTATTAGCTGGTGCTACTTTATCTTATGTTATGGACAGTATGGTACATACTTCCTCTGTTCCCAGACTGTTTTCAGGCTATGTGTTCTTGTTGTCCTTGTTGCGTTAGACAGCCTGTCTGCCTCCAAGGCTGTGTGAGTGTGTGTGTGACCCAGACTCTTAGAAATCAATTAACTCCTGCTGGCAAACTTTGAACCATTCTAATGCATATAAATATATATATATAAGCCAGTTCCAAAAACCCTCTAAATACCATTTCTAAGCCAACAGTTTTAACCTGATATAGCATCCATTTTTTACTCTCCTGCACTGTTGTGTAGACATTATGTTCCATAGTTCACCATCTTCAGCCAAAATGTGGCTTCATTCTAATATTCAAGCAGTGACTGAATTAACAGATCTAGCTGTAAGGGTGTGTTGGGGTTAGTACCTATCCCACAGCAGCCTATTAAGAAAGTTAATTACATAAGCACTTCAAAATCATCATATGAAAGGTGCTCTGTGTCTTGTATTTTTTATTCACTCAGATTTTAAAACTATTAAGACTTGTTGTCATTGTTTTTCAGTAGTTGAACTCCAGCAATGTTCTCAGAACTGTACAAGACAAAAAAAAGCAAGAAGACAGTTCCTAGCTTGGAGAATTTAGAGTCTAACGGGCAGACAGGACAAGACATACTGTTCTAGGAGCCCCCTGGGGATAGAGCAATCATAGTTAATTTTAAATTCTGAAGTAAAATTGAATTTGGACATCACGTAGGAAGGTTTCAGGGGCAGGTGAAATATAGTTGCTTGCTTTTGAGAGCTGTAAGTTTTAGGGGTGGGCAGAATAGTATGGATTGCCTTTTATCCTGAAAATTAATTTCTCTATTAAAGAAGAGGAGTATTATAGAGAGCTTTAACCCAGTTATTTTTCTGATTATAGATAAGCTCTCAGACCAAGTGACAAGCTAGTGTCTTACAGACTAGACAGGGAGCAGTACTCCATTAACAGTGAGCTCATGAACTAGATTTAAGACCTGAATTTTCTCACCACATAGGAGGGTGCTTACTGACATGGGAATATGCCAAGCAATTTCTGAATAATTCAAGTAGCCAGAGGCATATCTAGACACAGGCACATGTAACTCAGACCTACATGGCTTGCCAGGTTTCCCTGTCTCCACTCTAATACCAACAAGATCCTTAGAATAGGAAAGGAGGAATCAATCTGTAAGAAGGCATTGATTGGTTGGATTTCCAGGAGTGCTACAGCATTGTGTTTACACTACGGTTATTTGAGATTATTTTGAAGCAAGCAAGCTCAGGTCCTAAACTTCCCTAAAGTGTACAGTTTGTCCACATCTAGCATTTTGGCTCATCGTACCATACAAAGATCTAATCCAGGTTCAAAGATTAATTCTGTACACTTGACTGAACCAATATGTGGTACTGGGTCTGTATCATGGTATAATGATGTTGCTTGAAAACCTGTATGGGATACTATCCCCCCACCTTTCCTTATTAGTCCATCATTAAACTATAATGTAGAGAATTTGTAACATTAATCATTATTTATGGCCCCGTGTTTCTCTTTTTTCTCCCTCAGTTCTCTTTAGTTGAGGAGGAAGAACAATTGCTTGGGATAAAGATTCTATGTTACTGGATCATTCTGGGTTCTAAGAACCATACATCAGAAGAGGTTAAGCATGCTGAGACTGTTAGGGATTTAGATATACAGATCTTGGAATTTATGATATGCATCTAAATCCTGGAGGTAATTCTAAAAAAAAGTCTCAGTCCTAATAAGTACAGACATTGACTACTAAAAACACACAATTTTGGAACATCACACATACAGAGTTGCACCACATGTGCAATTGCCGAGTTACACCTGTGCCTGGTAATTTGATGTACAGGGCTATAGGGAATTTGTGCATGGAGCAACGAGCAGAAATTCTTTCCGGACTTTGCACTAGTTGTACATCTCACATCAGCGCAATGTTCCATTTCCAGTTTCCTGCATTTTACAAAAATGTCCTTTTAGAACCTGTTGTTTAAAACAAAAGCAAAACTCAGCAGAAAAGACATTGAAATATTCTGTTAAAAATATAGAAAAAAGCAATTACTCAACTTTTTGATGTAAGAACTGTGCATTCAACAGCTCTTTAAGGTCAAATGTCCGCATCAAAAGGAAGATTCTGGCCAATTTTAGTGACCTTCCAACGTGTGCATCAGAAAACGAGCGAAGAAAATGGAAGCCGGTAACCTGCAACCCTACAGAGACTCAACCCCTGCTGCGTGTGAGATATGATTAGCTTCTGAAGATTCACCTCCTTTATACCATGACTGAATTACCATTGCACCTACCCCAGAGTGCCAATTAAAAAAGGAGCCCAATGCAACCCGAAAAAGGGCATGAAAGTAAACATGTGAGACTTGTCAGGAACCACCTTCTCTGTGTGTCACCAGGCACGTCTGCTTCCTGCTAGATGAAAGCAACTGAAACAGGTGCTCTATTAATATTCATAATTCCTCACTAACACATTTGATCTGATCGTGCGAAATGCCACACACTAGAAAAATTTCCCATGAACTGGCTCTCAAGTGCTCTACTTTCTTTCTGTGCTGCTTGCATACATTATATATTTTGCCAGTGGAACTTCATATTATTCCAAAATGATTTTTTTGCCCACCAACCTAATAGAGAAAAGCATTCCCCCTCCCCACCCCAGCCTCCCCCACCCTTACCAGCATGGGAGTGCTGCTTGCTGACAGGACACTGTGCTCAAATAGGCTTTAAAAGCCATCAAACATGCACTTCTAAAAATGCCAGCAGGCAAGTTTTGAGGTTGCCACAATCTTCAGTTTAGTCTTTGTGTGATCTGTAGGGGCATTCGGGCTTCCACGTGCTTGAAGTGATGGGAATGGCGTTGCTCT